TTGAAGATGTCTGCCTTACCCTTTCTTCTGTTGATGACTTCTGGGTGGTTCCTAGGTGAGGCCCATTACTGATACCACAGCTGTGAGCACTGCGGGTGTTGGGGGGCAAATGCTGGTGTCTCTTGGATATGTGCCCTGGGGTGGCCCTGTGGGCTCCCAGCCTGGGTCTACAGTGAGCTTTATTTATTTATTTATTTATTTATTTATTTATTTATTTAGGGTTTTTTTGGAGACAGGGTCTTGCTATGCAGTTCAGGCTGGCCTTGATCTCACTGTGTAGCTGAGGTTGGCCTTGAACTTGCAGTGATTCTTCTGCCTCAGCCTTGAGTGCTGGAATTACAGGCTTGTACCACCACACCTGGCTACAGTGAGCTTTGGTAGATGCTGCTGAGCAGCTTTCTGGGGTAGTCCTTGCTCATGATTAGTTGTATGAATGAGTAAATGAATGAGTGAGTTGAATAAATGAATGAGTTTTCTCTTAAAGTCCCAGGCCCAGAACACAGGACTTCCTGAAGCGGTAGGAAGGGTCACTGCAGTGAATGCAGCACAGTTACCTCCCCACTAATCCTGGCATAGGATAACTCCAGCCACCTCCAGGGAGGGAGCTGAGCCTGGTCAGTCTTAGCACCCCAGTGCACACACCAGGTATACAGTAGGCGCTGCATAGGTGCTTGTGGAGCTGGGTTCAAAGAAGCACAGTACTGGCTCAAGTCTGGGACCCAAGGCCCCTGAGGGCTCCAGGCCTGTGCTGCCCACCCTCTGGTGCAGGGAGAGCTCGGGAGAGGCATCGCCTGGCAGGGGATGCCGCCCTCCTCCCCGTTCCTCCACTTGATTTATTTAGACAACTGAGCCATACCCTGGGAAATGGATCAGATTTCAGATCTGACAAAAATAAAAACAAATTGGCCACCCCCGCCAAACCAAGCACTCCCACCCCCACCTGCCTCCTGGAGCCCCCCCCCCATCACAGAACCCTGCCTGTTAGGCCTGAAAGAGGGGTGGTCTCCATGGTAACCATGCTGGCCGCTGGCTGTTGGATAGGAGGCTCCCCTGCAGCCGCTCAGGCATCAGGCACTGCCCCTGCAGCTGTTCGTTCTTCTATCTGGACCTGGCAGGTGCCAGCGGGCCCCTGGCACGGTGGCTTCCCTGGTGACCACCCCCCATCCCCTGGCCTTCTCAGCACTCTGTGGCAGGGTGTAGAGTGGAGTTAGGTATTCTGATCCAGCTTAGCCTTTTGCTGGCTGGGGACCTGGAGGTCACCATTGCTTCCTGCTGTAAATTTTCCTTCTTACCCAACCAGGGGCTGGAATGTCCCTCTTCCTAGCCCCCTGGATGCCACACAGGTCTGGATACCCAGCGAGGCCACAGCCAGATGGCCATGCTCACCACTGACCCGGGCCCCACTTCCCCTTGCCTGGGCTCTGTGTGCTGACCTCTTGCTCCGTGGCTTGTGTTTGCTGTATGTTTAAATGAGATAATGCATGCAGGTTGATTAGACAGCTCCTTGGCAAACAAACACTCAAGATCACTCAAGAAATGTTTGCGATCATTGCCATCATTACTATCATTAACCTGGTGCCTGGCACACAGCAGGTGCTCAATATATGCTCATTAAGTCCCTACCTGACTCTTAGGGCCAGTTCTGAGGACTCTGGAAGGCACTGGGGAGGGGTTTGGGGAGGGGGACGGGGCTGGGGCATGCGGTGAGGGTCCAGGCCATTTGGGTGGGCTCCCCCAGGGGCAGCTCTGCCAATGGGGAGCTGGAGTGCTGGGAGGGCCCTGCAGTCCCCTGAAGGCCCTGGGCTGGTTTTCTCCTGAGGCCAGTCATCCAGGATGGCTTTGCCTGCCAAGGAAAGTGTATCGATTGGATCACCATTGATCTGTTTCTCCATCTGTGCTCCTTAGAGATGCTCATGGCTGCCGTCAGGGATCTAATCAGCTGGAGTGACCGCCGTGTGGCTGTTCAGAGCGAGAGACCGCATGTGGAGCCTGGGCCTTTGGGCAGAGGCAGGCTTCTGTGTGGGTTTGGACAGTCAGCCCGGGGTGGGGAGTGTGTCCTCCTGAGCATCGCTTCTGTGTGGGGCCTGCTATGGGGCTTGCATTGGTCTCTGTCCATGTTCTGTCCTGCGGTAGGGATTGGGCCCATTGCTCTGTGAGGGTCTTGGCAGGGCTGTGACAGGAGCGAGGTCCTAGATGGCTGGGTCCCAACATCGTGGTTTCAGATGCCAGTTGGAGCTTTGAGCCTTGCAGTCAGAGGCAACCGGAGCCACTGAAGACTCCCAGGCTCAAGCTCCCTCCTGCTCTGCTTTGAGCCTCCAGGCACTGCTTTGAGCCAGACAGTCCTGGCTCTGGGTGGCCTTGGGCAAGTCACACCAGCCCCCTAGGCCTGTTTCCTCATCTGTCCCCAGTGGACTGTGGTGACAGCTAAGCTAGTGTCCCTAGGGTGCCTGGTGTACAGTAGTCATGGTGACTGCCAAGTTTGTTACTGTGATGCTTGCGGGACCACGGCAGAAGGGAGCACTTCCGGAGAGCAGGCTGAGCACTGCTGTGGGGAGGATAAAAGGTGCTTCAAGGGAGGCTGGATGGGACTGTGAAGGATGAATAGGAGTTTGCCTAGAGGGAAGGAAACACATATGAAAGTGAGTGCTTAGGGACAGCAAGAAGTTCAGTGCATGGCAAAGCCAGCGAGAGATTAGACCAGAAGTGTTCCTCGGGGTCAGAGTTTATAGGGCCATGGCATCAGGCTCAGGGGTGGCAGGAGCCCTGGGAGGCTTGGAGTAATCAGAGCCGCTTTCCAGGTGGATTAATCTGGCCATGACAAACTAGCTTGGGGGCAGAAGAAGCAGCTCTGCTTTTGTATCTCACTGAGGCTCTTTGCAGCTGGTGACCTTGGGCAAATCTGTTTCCCTTGGTGTCTTAGTTTCCTCATTTGTGAGTGGGGCTTGCTTACACTCGAGCAGGTGGGAGGGACTGATGCAGGGATATTTGCAAACTCCCAGCTCTGTGGGCCCAGGCAGGTGCCTGCTGATGCCTGGCACATTGTGGCTACAGAGACCAGAGCTAGTGACCAGGGGAGGGTGGTGCCAGGTCCAGGAGGAAGGGGAAGCCCCGGGCAGGGATAGGCCGGATGTCATGGAGGTGAGCACTGGCCTTGGAGTCCAGCAGGCCTGAGATAAATCTCAGCTTTGCTACTTCCAGACTTTGACCCAGGAGAGGCCCCTAATTTCCCCGAGCCTCGTTTTCCTCGTCTGTGAAATGGGCCTGATGACCTGCTGGGCTCAGGGACCTGCAGAGGTTGAAGCAGGGCTATCAGGCTCCCATGAGACCCTGCTGGGTGGGTTCTGAGCTGGGACCTGCAGGAAGGGCAGAGGCACCGAGGGAGGACACGGCTGGAAGGAGAGGGAGTGCGAGGTGGGGGAGTGGGAGGGACAGGGGACGTTTGCTGGTAATGAGAACGTTTGAACTTCAAAAAAGTTAATTAATGATGAAGCTGCCGCTGGAGCAGTGCTCAAGCTGGAAGGGGGCCCTGGCAGACTGAAATTAATTACAGGCTGTGGCAGGAGTGTGGCATTGGGGTGGGGAACAGGAAGGACAGAGGCACAGAGAAGGCAGCATCCCAAGGTGGGGGGGGGGCTCAGAAACCAGGTCAGTCTCCCGGCAGGGGAGGGGCACACCCACTTGAGGGGATCTGGCTGGGGTTGTGAGTGTACTTCATCGAGTTGCCGGCTGGACTGAAGTTTCCTCAGAGACACTTAAGAGCCCGGGGGAACCTAGAGCCCGACATGTTTACTCAACAAACCTTGATTGGGTTCCTACAAGGTGCCTGTCACTGTTAAAGCCATGAATGCAAAGTCCCTGTCCCCTGGACTGTGGGGTCTAGCAGTGCACAGGGATGATGACCATGTCAGCAGGAATTGCTGGTTGTGGCCTCAGTGTTGAGTGCTTGGAGAGATGGAAAGACAGGAAAGGCTGTGGTGGAGGAAATCAGTGGAGACGGGCAGGGTGAGGTTAAAGGGTCAGCACTGCAGGGCCTGGGAAGCATCTCCAGGTCGAGGAGAGCATGTGCAAAGGCCCTGAAGTTGTGTGCCCGAGGCCTCCAAGGAGCAGCGGGAGGCCAGTGAGGCTGGAGGATGTGAGCTGGGGGCAGGCCAGGTGTGGGGTGAAGGGGAAGCAGGGGCTGGGGCCTTGCAGTGTGCTGAGGGCTTCCAGCTTGATGCCAGGATGGAGGGAAGTACCCCTGTGGCTTTGGTTGCTCAGTGCTGCTGTGGGGAGGGGCCCTGGAATGTAGGAAGGAGCCCTCATCCTGGTTCCCCAGTACCCTGAGGCCCTGCCTGTGCTGGGTTAAGAGATTGTCCCTAGTCAGGCATGGTGGCACTGGCCTATAATCTCAGCATTCAGGAGGTTGAGGCAGGAGGATCACCAAGAATTTGAGGCCAGTCTGAGCTACATAGTGAATTTAAGGTCACCCTGGACTACGTAGGGAAACTGTCTCAAAAAAGTTAAATTTAATTTAAAAAAGAGAGGTTGTGCCTAGGTCCCCTGGTTGCAGGGGGCCCGAGTCCTGGCTTGGTGCAGGCTGGGGCCAGTCTGGGAGCAGCAGCCAGAGTGTAGCTGTGAGCTCGCTCCCGGGTGGCAATGGCAGAGGAGAAGGATGGGGCAACCAAGCAGCCTCAGCTGCAGTGCCGGGCCCTCTGCAGGCTCCCGAGCAGGCCTGGCAGAGCTGGAGCGGGTGGGTCAGGGTGGAGAGGGGCAGAGAAGGGAGGCCGCGACAGTGGGGGTAGGGCATCTCTGCAGCTCCCTGCCAACCGCCCCCTTCCTGTGGCCTCTCAGGCCGGGCGGGGAGGGGATGCTGTGGGTGGTGTCCCGATGGGGTCAGGTGCCCGGCTGGGTGTGGCCCATCTGTGAGGGGGCAGGGTGGGAAGGGGAAGACCCAGGACATCCCCGAGTGCACCCCAGCCCCCCCATGCGGTCTCCCGTTGTGTCCTTGACTTGGTGTGCACATGGTTTGAGTGTGTCAGCATGCTGGTGATCCTGCTGAACTGCGTGACCCTGGGCATGTACCAGCCGTGCGACGACATGGACTGCCTGTCGGACCGCTGCAAGATCCTGCAGGTGAGGGGCTGCAGGGAGACTTGGAAGAGAGACCATGAGCCCCCGGTCTAGCTAGGCCTGTGCTTGGTGGTTATTAGGGACAATATGGGAAAAGCCCTTGTCCTGGCCCGACTGGGGTTCCCTCTCGTCACCCTGGGTTAGGGGAGCAGCAGCATGGGTTATATGACCCTGGGCAACTCTGTCCCCTCTCTGGGCCTCAGTGCCCCTGCAGTCTCCCTGGCCTGGGCCCCTCCTGTCCACACCCAAGTCCCCACCTCAACCTGTGGCTCCAGCCTCTGGGTCCTGCTCTGAAGCCTCACAGTGTCTTTTGCCTTCTTCCTCTTGCCCTCCAGGTCTTTGATGACTTCATCTTCATCTTTTTTGCCATGGAGATGGTGCTGAAGATGGTGGCCCTGGGCATTTTTGGCAAGAAGTGCTACCTCGGGGACACCTGGAACCGGCTGGATTTCTTCATTGTCATGGCTGGGTAGGTGGTGAGCACGGACAGGTCAGCTTGGGATGACAATGAGGAAGCAGTGTGGTACTGCGGGCGCCTCTGGGCCTGGAAGGGGAGGAATGGCGCCCCCTGGAGGTTAGGCCAGGACAGACAGATACTGCCTTCTTTCCACTACCGGTGGGGACTGCTTCCGCTCTGCTTTAGGCTAATTAATTCACTGTATGACTTTGAGAAAGCCACCTTGCTTCTCTAACCCTTTGTTTCCTCATCTTTAAAATGAATGTAGAAAAAGTAGCTATGTCACAATGAGCCCCAGTACGCTTTAGCTGTCAATGCCATGGTCACCATCCGGATCCCTAGCAAGCTGGAGGTGAGCCCAGCCTGGGCAGAAGAGTGACTCCTGGCACAGTCACAGAAAGGCCAGGTGATGGCTCAGCACAGTTTTGCACTTCATTCCTGCTTCCTGGTTGCACCAAGCCTTGCTGTGATCCTTCACCTGGAGCAAAGTGGTCCTTATCCAGTATTAGTGCCCTCCTACACGACAAGAGAGAAGGAGGGAAAACCAGGCCTGGCCGCTGCTGCCCAGCTTACAGCCTGGGACAGGATCCGGTGGCTGCGCTGTGGCTTCATCCTCCCATGCTGGGACCAGGGCTTGCTGGGGGCAGAACATTGTGGTTTGCTGAGTACATTTAACCCAGGAGCCTGACTAAGCCAGGGTGGGGACTTGGGGCTTGGGTGCTGTCCTGAGGAGGTGATATGCAAGGGTTGAAGGACAAACTGGCACTAGCCATGCCCAGCCAAGGGGCGGTATGGCAGGGGTGAGGACGGAAGAAAAAAGTCCTGAGGCCAAGAGGGCGAGTAGTGTGTGTGTGTGTGTGTGTGTGTGTGTGTGTGTGTGTGTGTGTGTGTTCATGCATATGGATCTCAGTGTATGTGAATGTGTGCATGAGTGTGCTTGTGTGTACACTGCCACAAGATGGGGAAGGGAAAGTGGCCCTCACATGGCTGAGGAGGGGATCAGGATGTAGAGTATCCCACCAAGTATGTGCTGAATGTATTGGTCAACTTGACACGGGAACCCTAACGGAGGACAGCCCTATGTTGGCTCATGGTTTCAGAGGTTTCAGTCTATGGCAAACTGGCTCCAAGGCAGGAACATTATGGTGGAAGGGCATGCTGGAGGAAAGCTGCTCTGGAATAAGAAGGGAGGGACCAGAGACCAGATACAGTCCCCAAGGTCACACCCCCAAGACCCGCTTCCTCCATGGAGGCCCCACCTCCTAACAGCCCTATGAGCTGTGAGCTCCTCAATCGGTTAACCCACTTTCACAGTCCAAGTACCTCTCTAGGAGTCTTTTATTCCAGGCAGACTGATCATTAGAATGAAGCAGCACATAGAATCCATAGATCTGTGCTGAGGTGGGATGATGTGTCTCACTGGTGTTTTCAAATGCTTGCCCCTTCCGAGCGCCCCTTCCTACCACCTCTGTTTGGTCTCACAGCCACGTGGTCCACAAGGTTCTGGGTCTCACTGGAAGGTTGGTAGCTTCAGATAGCTCCGGGATCCTGCGTCACCCCTTGGTCAGGTTCATTTGTGTTCTCATTTTGGTCTGGCTGGAGAACACACTTAAATAGCTTTTTAAAGAAAGGGAGATTGGACAGTGTCATTTTCAGTCTTGCCTGTTCAAATACATCTCTTTGCTCTCAGAGTGGGAAGGGCAGTTCCCGTGTCTGCCTGATTCTCAAGTCATGGCTTTTCTGCCTTAGAACTCAGCATGTGTTGTGCCCTGCAAATGGACGATTTGGGACTGAAGGGTCTGGAGCAGGCCCGATTCTGATTTCTGGAAAGGGAACTGGCTTTTTCCTCACTAAAAGCTTTTTGAGATTTCTCTTCACCTTTAGGGCCTAGACTTTTCTCCAAGGCAGGTCTAGAATTTACAGAACAAAGACTCACGTGTTCCTTTGGCTCTTGTTATTTCTTCTTTGGTTGTTACCCATTCTCTACTCTCTCCTTCTAGAAGAGTCCCTTCTCTACCTTTTCTCCACATGTCTCTTTAAGGGGCTTTTTTGCCCCCTTTGTGAGTCACCAGTGACCTTCCCAGCAGTGTCCTTGTGCCTACTCTTTCCCAGAGGAAATAGCTGCTTTTCTTTGTCTTCCTTGTCCTTGGTTTTGTTTGCTTGTTTTTGTTTTTTGAGACAGGGTCTTAGTATGCAGCTCAGGCTGGCCTTGAACTCATAGCGATCCTCCTGCCTCAGCCTCCTGAGTGGTGGGATCTCAGGTGTGTGCGTCATTATGCCTGGTTCTGTCCTTGGGTTTTTTGTTTTTTCAGAACAGCTTGTATCTGTTCTTGTTTTATGGATGCAGTATTTACCCAGATCTCCTTCTGGATACTAATTAGGCTTCTTCAAATTCCTTCCTGATTCTGGTAGTCCTTGTGTCAAAGTGTAATTTCCAAAAGTTAAAAAAAAAATGACCTTTCCACAAATTTTAGAGTGAACATGTGTTGCAAATTTATTCAGCTCATTAAGGAGGGGACCGGTAGAATTAGGCAAGCAGGCATCGGAGAAAGAATGTGGGCAGAGAGTGAGGTGAGAATCAAAGCTGGTTAATGACCTACAGATAATAAAACCACAGCCTTTGGTGGAGGGCAAAGCTCTTTTCTGTTGAGCAGAAATCATGTGCATCTCTGCCAGATAAAAATCTACAAGTTAACATGTAATTTCATGGCTTCTAGACCTTTAATTAACAGGAAATAGTGAACTGAGTGAAGGTATAGTCCCCTAGATAATAAAATAATCTGCAGATAGGTCTGTGAAATTATGGTCCAGTATGACAGTGAGAAATACTGCCTGCCCTTTGCCTTATTTCCAAATTTTAGAATGAATAACTCCTGTCCTAGAGAAGTCATTTGTTTTATTGGCTCCACCCTCTGCCTCCTGCAAGCCTCCCCCACTCCCGCGTTTGGATTTAAAGCACCTCCTCTGTTGCTTAGTGCTTCCTCCTGTTGATCCTGTTTATAAAGACCATGGGGCTCTGAGGTGCGCAGAGGGAGGAGCCAGCTGGCTTCGGCATTGCAGGAGGTCACAGCTTGATGTCATCTCTCAGTCTTTGGCATGGAGTGGGTGTGATGGGACCTGGGGGCTGCAACCTATGCATTCACATTCTTACTCTTCCGACAAGGGGCCCTGATCTCCACTCCACTTTGGGCCCCACAGGGGTGTCACTGCCTGGGAGGGGGTCAGGTTCCACAGAGCCTTTTTTGTTAGAGTCATGAGTGCGCAGGTGCCTGGCCTGTGCTCGATGCTGGGGACTCAGATCTACACCTGCCCTCAGAGTCTTCCTGATCCCTTGTGTCAGAGGATAGCACGAGTGGAGCGCAGCATAGGTGGATGGTGAGTCACAACCTGGGGCCCTAGAGCTCAGCCCCCTGGTTCTGCTCCCACTGTCCCCAGAGTGGGTCATCCATATCCCACTGTTCTGTTTCCAGAAGTAACAGGCCTGACATCCTGAGGATGTTTTCTTTTTCCCTGCCTCTCCCCTCCCTCAAATGACTGGCTCGTTCTTTGAGCTCCCCAGGGTGACACAGAACCTCTGATTTGGAAGGTTCCTTAGAGGTCACAGCCTCCATCTCCGTGTCCTCTGTCATGGAAGGCTTAATTGCTGGCATGTGGCAACTGCAAGAGACTCACTACCTTCCAAGGCCACCAGTTGCTGAATGGCATCGCCTGCTGGAAAGTTCTTTCACTGACCTGGAATCTGTCTTCCGGTGGCTCCCACCCAATGGTACCATTCATGTACTTATTCACTAAGCCAACACGCATTGGGACCTGGGACCTGGGACATGCCAGGCCTTGTGCTAGGCAGTGTGGACGTGATGATGAACAAGACAGGGCCCTCATGACCTCATGGAGTACACAGTTTAGGGGACAGATGTGACAGACCTTTCAGGTGAAAAGTCCCCGGCCTCCCCTGCTGGCTTTGCATCCTGCTGTCCCTGTCCCCAGCCGAGGAGTGAGATCTTGGCCTCTTGAGGACAGTGGCTTATGGCGTAGAGGGAATGGGCTGTGAGGTGCAGGACTGTGTCGAGTAGCTGTGCCCTGACACCCCCAGGTTTCTTCACCCTGGGATAGAAGCAGTTGATTTCTTTAAACACAAACGCCAGCCTTGGTGTTTATTGCTGTTACTTTCAGCTTCCAAGGCCTCCTGGCATTCCATCCAGCCACTCTCTGAGTTGGCTTCCAGTGTGTGCTCAGCCCAGGATGCCAGCCCAGCCACACTCCACTCCTCCAGGGCATGACAAAGCCACTGTCTTGTCATCACGCTTATGGTGAAATGGAATCCCTTTGCGGCCTTATCACCTAGGTGCACTTCCCTGCCTTCGTCCATTAGGAGGTCATGAAATATTCAATTACGTCCTTGTTGAACTTGGGCTCTGCTTCGTTTCTGTACCTCCCTTAGCGTACCATGCTGATAGTTCTACCTCCTCCCCAGCCCCCAAACTGAGATGACCACTGCTGTGGGAGGGGCCCGGATGCCTCTGGTAAAAGCTTCCCAGAGAATTCCCATGCTGGTCTCTGGGAAGGCTGTCCAGGGCATGGTTGGGGGTTGCTGTGGATGTGCGCAGGGACAGGAGCCCCTTGAATCTGGAAGTGTAGGATACAGGGAAAGGGGACGTTACTAGAACCTCTGCAGTTAAGTCCTAGACTCCTGCGAGCCATGGCAGCTCAAGGGGAATTACAGGCAAGGTAGAAAAATGAGACTGGAAAGAAGCTGAGCTTTGGGTCTGATCAGTGCTGCTCTGGGTGGCAAAGACAAAAGCCCCCAGTTTACCGCACCTTTAATTCAGTACACTGGGAGAAACAAATGTAACAAATGACTTGCAGAGAGTTCAGTAAATCCAGGTAAACAAGATGTAACAATCCAAGAACAATGAGAAATTGAGTAGATGTTTGTTCTTCCCAGGATGTTTTCAGCTCCCAGGATGTTTCTTGTCCAGGAGAATCACAGCATCATCGGATCATTGAGGTCT